TATTGCCAATACGGAGGAGGACAGGAATATAATACAAGACAATAGAAATGGGATGAAATCTAATAGTGCAAAGTGCAAGGTCATGCACTTAGGGGACTAATAACAAGAATTTTTGCTATGAGCTGGGGACTTATCAGTTGGAAGCAACAGACGAGGAGAAAGATCTGGGGGTATTGGTTGATCACAGGATAACTATGAGCTGCCAAAATGATTTGGCCATGAAAAAGGCTAAAGCAATCCTAGGATGCATCAGACAAGGTATTTCCAGTAGAGATAAGGAAGTGTTACTGCACTCATACAAGGCACTGGTGAGACCTCAGCTGGAATACTATGTGCAATTCTGGTCTCCCCCATTTAAAAAGATGAATTCAAACTGGAAGAGGTGCAGAGAAGAGCTACTAGGATGATCAGAAGAATGAAAAACCTACCTTATGAGAGGAGACTCAAGGGGGCTGGCTTGTTTAACCTAACAAAACAAAGGCTGAGGGGAGATATGGTTGCTCTCTAGTAATACATCAGAGGGATAAACACCAGGGAGGGAGAGGAGTTATTTAAGTTAAGTGCCAATGATGACACAAAAACAAATGGATATAAACTGGCCATCAACAATTTTAGGCTTGAAATTAGATGAAGGTTTCTAACCATCAGAGGAGTGAAGTTCTGGATCAGCCTTCCAAGGGAAACAGCGGGGTCAAAAAACCTAACTGGCTTCAAGATGGAGCTTGATACATTTATGGAGGGGACGGCATGATGAGAGTGACTACAATGCCACGTGGCCCATCTGCAACTGCTACTAGCAAGGTTTCAGAGCAGCAGCCGTGTTAGTCTGTATTCACAAGAAGAAAAGGAGTACTTGTGGAACCTTAGAGACTAACCAATTTATTCAATGAAGTGAGCTGTAGCTCACGAAAGCTTATGCTCAAATAAATTGGTTAGTCTCTAAGGTGCCACAAGTACTCCTTTTCTTTTTGCTACTAGCAAAAATCCCCAACAGCCAGAGATGGAGCAGTAGATGGGGAGGGCTCTGAGTTACTCCAGAGAATTCTTGCCAAGGTGTCTGACTGGTGGGACTTCCAATATGCTCAGGGTTCAACTGATTGCCATATTTGGGGTCAGGAAGGAATTTCCCCCAGGTCAGACTGGCAGAAATCCTGTTGTTGTTTTTTTTCACCTTCCTCTGCAGCATGGGGCATGGGTCACCTGCTGGTTTAAACTAGTGTAAATGGTGGAGTCTCTGTAACTTGAAGTCTTTAATCATGATTTGGGTACTTCAGTAACTGAAGCAGAGGTTAGGGGTCTATTACAGTAGAGGGTGAGTGAAATTCTGCAGCCTGCAATGTGCAGGAGGTCAAACTAGATGATCACAATGGTCCCTTCTGGCCTTAAAGTCTATGAGAATCCCCTATGCTGTAAAGTCCTACCTAAGAGACAGGAAATTCTCATTTGTAGAATTTCGCCATCATCATCGTTCTGTCAAGGGGAGTTAGGAGAGCTCCATTTAATTAACATCCATCTCTCAAAAAAAAAAAAAACCCACAATATCTAGAGACAAAGAATCAGCAGCAATTACTTTTAACTCTGTATTTATGTCAATATTCTGGCAACAATTTAAATTTTTTCTTTATTTTTAATAAAAAAATTAACATAGTGTTTGTGAAAGGTGCAAAACTGGTGGCTCCAAGACTGAACTTCTCTGTTCACAAAACAGACTACAGCAACTTAAAAAAACAAATCCAAGGCAGCCATTCAGCAAGCAAGGTATTTAAGCACATATCCAATGAAGCGTGTGAGGAGCCCCATGAGGTATGCATTCATGATTACAAGTACTGATAGTCACAGTGTTGTGCCTCAATGTATCATCTGAGAAGTAAACAGACAAAATACTGAACCTAAATAAGTCAGGAATATTGTCTATGGTAATTCAAATGTTTAAAGTTAGGCATGTGTTTGTTGCTGAATTGGGGTCTCAGTTCACTATGGGCCTGATCCAAAGCCCTGTAAAGTCAATGGAAGTCTTTCCATTGACTCAAATAGACAGTTGATCTGGTCCTACAATGCACCATTTGTGATGGTGTTGTTTGTACTATCAACATTCTTAGCTCATTCATTCACTTAGGCAATAATTCATGACTGATAAATTAGAGCCTTATCCTGCAAACCCTTATTCATGTGATGAATCCTCGTTTATGTGAGTAGCCACAATGAACTGAACTGATACTCAAGTAAGGGGTTTTAGGATTCGATGCTAATGTAGAACTCCCCATTATTTCACACACTTCAGCATTTGGCTGTAAAATTTCATCATTTCTTAGATTGTATAAGAGCATAATAACATCCAATTATCACCATTCCTTGTTCGCATTTGTGTTTTAGGCGTATCACTTCAATTTGTGTTTCAAGGATCCAGTATGAACACCCGCAGACACCACCATGCACACACCCATACATTCCCTAGTCCAAAAAGGAAAAGCAGCTGTCAAGAGAGTACTAACCCAGAGGTCATATGGTTTGTTTGCTTGAACGTTTTAGAAAAGCAGACTGAAATTACTGTACCTATAATGCTAATGCTAATTGTCAGTATCTTTCTGGTAATTGAGGTGCCTGGAAATGAATGCAATATTCCAGGTGTGGTCACACTATATCTGTAAGGAGAAGGAATAGTCCCTTCCTCCTCCAGGGTAGGATGTCTCCCAGAATGTAGCACAATGCAGAAATGGCATTTTTTGCACCCATATCATATTGCAAATTCTTGTCTCAGTTTTCCTGTGATATGACATGGTGCTGGCATTTATTCCAGGATATAAAGGGAATAAAAGAAATTTGGGAATATCCTATAATATGATGATGTTGGAATTTAGGAGCAGGCAAGCCACACTGGCCAGATCTGCTTATCTGTGTGTGTAACTGCATAAATCAGCATTATGATGATATAGAATCAGAAAGATAAGACAACTGACACAATTATCTATTTCATCAACCAATCTCCTTTGTAGTAACAAAAAACCATATGTTTCAGGAGTAGCAGCCGTGTTAGTCTGTATTCGCAAAAAGAAAAGGAGTACTTGTGGCACCTTAGAGACTAACCAATTTATTTGAGCATGAGCTTTCGTGAGCTACAGCTCACTTCATCGGATGCATTCAGTGGAAAATACAGTGGGGAGATATATATACACAGAGAACATGAAACAATGGGTGTTATCATACACACTGTAAGGAGAGTGATCACTTAAGCTGAGCTAATACCAGCAGGAGAGCGGGGGATGGGGGGGGGAGAGAGAAAACCTTTTGTAGTGATAATCAAGGTGGGCCATTTCCAGCAGTTGACAAGAACGTCTGAGGAACGGGGGGGGGGGTGGGGCGGGGAGGGGGAATAAACATGGGGAAATAGTTTTACTTTGTGTAATGACCCATCCACTCCCAGTCTCTATTCAAACCTAAGTTAACTGTATCCAGTTTGCAAATTAATTCCAATTCAGCAGTCTCTCGTTGGAGTCTGTTCTTGAAGTCTTTTTGTTGTAATATTGCGACTTTTATGTCTGTAATCGAATGACCAGAGAGATTGAAGTGTTCTCCGACTGGTTTTTGAATGTTATAATTCTTGACATCTGATTTGTGTCCATTTATTCTTTTACGTAGAGACTGTCCAGTTTGACCAATGTACATGGCAGAGGGGCATTGCTGGCACATGATGGCATATATCACATTGGTAGATGTGCAGGTGAACGAGCCTCTGATGGTTTGGCTGATGTGATTAGGCTCTATGATGGTGTCCCCTGAATAGATATGTGGACACAGTTGGCAACGGGCTTTGTTGCAAGGATAGGTTCCTGGGTTAGTGGTTCTGTTGTGTGGTATGTGGTTGCTGGTGAGTATTTGCTTCAGGTTGGGGGGCTGTCTGTAAGCAAGGACTGGCCTGTCTCCCAAGATCTGTGAGACTGATGGGTCGTCCTTCAGGATAAGTTGTAGATCCTTGATGATGCGTTGGAGAGGTTTTAGTTGGGGGCTGAAGGTGATGGCTAGTGGCGTTCTGTTATTTTCTTTGTTGGGCCTGTCCTGTAGTAGGTGACTTCTGGGTACTCTTCTCCCCACTGTATTTTCCACTGAATGCATCCGATGAAGTGAGCTGTAGCTCACAAAAGCTTATGCTCAAATAAATTTGTTAGTCTCTCAGGTGCCACAAGTACTCCTTTTCTTTTTTTGAAAAAAACATATGTATCAAAAACAGGAAGGTGGATATGTTGGGACATTCTGGCATCTCCCTATACTGTCAGAATACAGAGTATTGCAATAGCACTTCAAAGAAGCATTAGTTGCAGTGCAGATTTTAACGATCTTTCACACCCTTGTTCTTGCTGTTCTCTTAAACAGTTTTCTAAAAATACCTGTCAGGGCTTGAAACTGCCAAATGCCATCAGGGAGATGGCCTATTATGAGCACAATATAGAACTTTCAACAAGTTTATGAGTCAACTACACTGTAAACCTATGTCTCCTTTCTCAAGCTTCCAGATTTCCCATTCAGTTTGTTAAACATCTGAAATAATTCCAGGCTTTTCATATAAATACTTACTACATACATGTACCATCAGACAGTAACTACAGCATTAGCTATATGTCATTTACTTTAAAGTAGAACTCAGACTTGTTTGTACATGAATAGGCATTCTGCAACATTCTAAATCGCAGGCGTTACTGATGGCATAGAAAAACAAATCTTGATAATATACTATAAAGTCCCATTCTGCTCTGCTTCAATAGGGCTTTTCTGCCTTCCCTGCAAAGTGAAAAATAGGCAGGGGGGAAAGAGAGAAAACTTAACCCTAACTACAAATACCCATCAAGAAAGATTACATATGGGAATACATTTAAATATAAGAAAAGTTTTTGTGGTAGTGATTAAAAGCAAAACTGGCAATAATAGTTTCATTTCACGGAACACACCAAACTCTTAACTTGATTAGTTTCACAGTTTCTTCCTTCAGACTTAAAATAAAAACTTACATCTTTTCCCAGCACTCTAAGTTCAAACTGCATTTCCTTGAAGTGAACCTTTGTAATTCTAGGCCTAAATGTTGAAAAAAAGATAAAGAGAAGTGTTATGGTATTTAAATCCAACACATCAGAAATACATAAAGAAGAAACAAAAAATATTGAAAGGAGAGTTTCAGTAAGCCATTCATACATAATCATTTTTACCAGTGCTCCACATATATTACTCACAAGAAAAAAAGTGATACTTAAACACTTTAATGTGAGCGGTGAAAGTTAAAACCATCTCTTACAATATTAGAAATAGAACACAGACAATTTAATCTAGACAGAAAGATCCATGATTCCAACAAGTACATCAGTTTAGTTCTCATAAAACTAACCAGTCATATCATACGTATATTCGGTATTGTTTATTTTTCCTTTTAGCCACATTATTTTAATACAGTCTGCAATATTATGTTGTACATACCAGAAATACTTCCCTACTTGTTTTTTATTCTTGTAAACAACAACTCCTACAGGTGTTAATCCTAAAAAATATTCAGACTTGTTTTCACCCTGGAAAATAGAACAGATGTCATTTTATTACTTACAACCACAATTTTATTTTTATAGATATCATCTAAGAAGCGGTGGCCTGGTAAATGGAGCACTGGTGTGGGACTGAGGAGAAATGGGTTCTATTACTGGCTCTGCTGCTAGGTAACTTTGGGCAAGTCACTTTAACCTCTCTGTGCCTCAGTCTCCTCATCTGTAAAATGGGGATAATGATACTGACCTTCTTTGTAAAGCTCTTTGAAATCTGCTAATGAAAACCACTGTACAAGTGGTTACTATGATCATCATCATCTTAGTAAGCTAAACACCCAAACCTACAAAATTCTTTCTTCCTTGAGTAACTTTACTCATGGGAGTAATCCTATAAACTTCAGTGGGATTGCTCTCATAAGTAAGGATTACTTACATGAATCAGGTAAGAGAAACAATTCATCAACTAAATTGCCATATTTCTCTTCTTTAAAAATCTAAAGAAACTCATTACAGTCAAAACTTCACACTGCATAAGATACAGTATTTACTCATAATGTAAATATACTTCCGAATGCTAGAATAGGTTCATTCTACCATACCAACCAAGACACACGAATAATCAGTCTGCTCAACTAACTTCTGGTCCCTGCAGAACTGAAAAATGTAATGATCATATTGGGAAACCATGGAGGGGTCAAAAACTGTAATCAAAAGGAGACACAGAAAATGACACAACGAATCATCTCCCTGATCTAATCAGCATCCATGTACCACATTAAATAAAAGCCATTTTTAAATACTACTAGTTAACCCCACCACGTGTAAGGAGGTAGAAGCTACCAATGTGGCAAGGCACAAGGAAAGGACTTCCAGCAGAAGAGAGGTCTCTTGAAATATTCTACAGGCTGTTCTTCTGAACCCACATTTTCTTGGTACTCTCCTTCAGACAAATGTCCAAATAATTTTTTAACGAGCACCATGCCAACCCACCCCCTAAAAAATTATTTCCTACCTTAAAATTGTATTTCTGCAAGAGGCTCCACCAATCTGAAATTATTTTGCTGCTCCTTCGTCTCCCAAAGACTGATCTGCTGACTTAGATTTCTTCTACCTGGCCCACCCCTGTGCGCAGCCCAGCCACAAAGGCCAAAGTTTTTCACAAATGAACATGGACTTCCTACCATGTCATGGACAAATGAACATGTACTTTCAGGAAGATCTGGGGCATGAGGGTCTCCATTTTTCCATTGGAAAAGAAAGGATCTCATGAGGGAGGATGAGAAGTGCAAAAGCCAGAGAATAAATCCCCTATCAAGATATGACACCCAACAAATGCCATAACTCTTGAATTAAGGTGTATAATGTTAGTCTGACCTGCTTCCCCGTAACATGATTGGAGACACCTTCTCCTTACTGAAACACTGTTGCCCTCATGATGCTGGAGAGGGTTCCTAAATAAACCAACTGCAATGAGGGATTCAGAGCACTTTTCTCACAAAGGATGACAAAGCTCATGATAAGGAGGGACCCAGTGCCTTCCCCATATGAAATACTTCTTAAGTTGTTGGGGTCTATATAGCCAATCAACTTGGTACAGGATAACATGAAAATTCTGATGGCAAATTGCAGCTGCCTCTGCAATTCATGGTAAATATTCAAAATCACACAGGATGAAATCCTGAAGGGAAGAGATGCGAACTGACAAGGAATAGTCTCTAAGCCAAGCCAAGGTATTTGTGGTGAGACTCTGTGACTGGAATAAGGAGGAAAGCATCCTTTATTAATACTATATAGCCTCCTGGCTCTACCAAGTCTGTTACTTAGTGTTTCAGTTTCAAAGCATTTGTAGGCCACGAAGAATTTGAGTCTTCTGAGGTTTAAAACCCCCTGATATTTTGGGCAGGGCACCAAAGAGAAAGAAAACTTTCTGAAACCTTTGTAGGGTTTACACTGAATCACTACTGAGAATCTCATAAACAATGTATTTTCACCATAATTTTCTTGGATCCATCAGTATTGGGCAAGAGTTAAAATGATTGCTGGGAGTGACTCAGTAACGTTCTATGTGGCATCCAGCTGCGATCATGGATAGAAACCAGTCGTAGGTTCTCTCAGTTTTCAACAACACGCTAACCTGTGTTCCCTGTGGGTTACAGGGCTCAGCTACGTTTCTAGCATCAGAAAGATTCCTTTGTTTCTTCAGGAAATTCCTTTATGTTGGCCTCCGCTTTTGCTAAGGAAAATGTAGTGGAATTTTTACCTGAATCCAAATTTTGCTGCAGAATTATCAAAACTTACTCAATCCCTAGTGACTTCTGCCCCATCCCCAGCTTTCCATTTAAGTTTTAAAGACTTTTTGTCATGCCATCAAATTTAAAATATTTAGCTTCAATTAAAACAGTACTTACATAGACAGGATGGAGATCTACTCCATACATTTCCAGTGATTTGGCCACTCCTAAGTAATCCAGCTCTGCCTCAGCAGGAACCTGACCCCTGTAAATGGTATAATGAATAAGAACGCTGACTCTCAATTCAACGCTACAACAGTTGTTAAAATAAATCGTATTAACAAAGCTTGTTGAATAGGTAAGCAATGCTTCCGTGGTATTGACTTAGACCTTCCTTCACTGCATGGCACTGTGCTCCTACTTGCTCCAGATAAAATGGGTTCCAGCGTTCACTGTGTCTGCTACACGCTGTTACCTTATATATTAAAAATATTAAATTGATGCTAACTACAGTGGCAAAACTTTCCTTGTCTACCTGCTGCTAACGCCCAAAAATACTCCTGCTGCTGTCCCAAAAATACTTCACAGCATTCATCTTCAGGCCTAAAAAGCAAAAAGGTCTTATTTTAAATCACTGCGTCATTACTATAAATCAGCAAGAGAAAGAGAGACCATTTAGGGGATGATTTCCCTATTGCAGTGCTAAAGCTGGCAGATATTGTGAGGAAGGCATCAAGAATTTCATGAGTTCAGATAAGATAGTCCCTTCTCAATAAAGATTTGCCTAAAGAAAGGCAGGCCCTCTGGAAACCTTACCCTTTTAATGCAAAAACTCAGTTTGGAGTCTACTGCAGGACCGTATCACAAATTATCTGCAGGAAACCGACTCTCCTTCTCCATGTAAGTATCATTGAAGCAACCAGCAACTTTCACTAGTTATATACGGTAGAGAAATAATGGAGAAAAACAGAAACCTAGGTATGTATTTGACACCAGTGAGGAGGGATTTATTACTTCGCATAAAAATATGAGTAAATCCAAAGCCTTTAACAATGTACACATCCTCAGTGTTTAATTTTACTCTTCCCTTAATAACGGTCATAGATGCAACATACTCAATAAGGTTCTCCATTGTAAGGCTGAAGTAATACTTCTGCAATCTCATTCCCAACTGGGATTTACCATACTTTTGTTAATTACTCAGTAGCATTCATATAAACGTTATTGAGACTGTAACTTATGAATATACCAGCATCAGTTCAAAAGGATTCATCAATGTGTATTCCAAAGACACTTCACATCTTATGCTTTAGCCTGCAGATGTTGCCTTGGTGAAATGTTTCACTCCTGTGTTTAATATCATCCATATCCAAGATGTGATATGGGGCCCAGGATCTTGTCATAAGATTTCAAAAATCCTGTAATACATGCTCTCTCTCTTTTTCTTATCTCCCCATTCCTTTCTTCTGGTTAAGAAGAGTGGAGATCTAATCAGCTGGTGTCTTCCCAGGCTGGCACTCCCTGTGTTTGCTTTACGTGTGACAGGGAAGAGACGTGTGCAATGTAGAGGCAAAAAAAGTAGTGGAATGCCAGCCTCCAGCATGAATACAGAAACCTCTCATGGCTATATAAATGACTCCATCTGTACTGTGGATAGAGGTTGCTCCTCTCTGTGGATGGAGCAGTAGAAATAATGATTGTAGACATCTACCTCCTTATCAAAATTTAGGAGCTGAAGCAAGCTGAGGCTGAGCTTAGCCCCCATTTACAAGAGTTCATGGGTAAGAAGAGGATCCAAAGCCCACTACAGAGAAAACTTGTAAGGGCAAGATTTCTTTCTTGGTGGATTTTTGGTTCACTGCTGTATTTACTAATACACAGCAGGGTCATATGTATTTCCCAATTCTGTGGTTATGGAATTTGCCACAGGAATCACCTCTTCTACACCCCAAATTGCAAAATTTTGCTCCAGACTTAGATTTTTCATTTAAAAAAAAATTATATTTCTAGCCTTCATAATTGTGAAACAAAATGTTCACTGAAGGACTGTTTTCTTCAGAGTCTGCAGACAATCTGAAACAACAGCACTAAAAGGTGTGAATTGCCACTCATCTCAGTGAGTTAACTCTAAAATCTATCAATGACAATTTAAATGTCAACACTGCTAACTATAAAAAGAAAAGGAATACTTGTGGCACCTTAGAGACTAACAAATTTATTTGAGCATAAGCTTTCGTGAGCAACAGCTCACTTCATCTATTTCATTTCTGATTTTGTTTGCAAAAACTTCATGCTAAATAACATGCTTCCACCACGATTCCAAACTGCCTCTCAACCTGCCAAATGCCCCAACTGTCCATTCAGTAACGATATATTTGGAAAAGTCTCTAAAGAGGAAAGGCACTGCTCTGTGAAGATGTAAACTGTGGCTAGTACAGAACACAAACAGAGTCTTTCCCAGCATACAGGAAACAGGGTGAGGGGAGAGCTAGATGTAGAAACTCTTCACTGAAAACATTCTCAAACGTTCAATATTTCATCGTATCTTCCAAGTTAAAATGAAGGGATCCAGTGTAGCTCTATACTTCAAGTCAGAGTTTTAAACCTTCTCTCAGTATACACCATTTTCCAAACTTCACAATGTTACTTAGAATCATAGAAATGTAGGGCTGGAAGGAATTTCCAGAAGCCATCAAGCCCGGCTCCCTGTACTGAGGTAGGATCAAGTAAATCTAAACCATCCCTGATAAGGTTTTTGTATAACCTGCTCTTGAGAACTTGCAATGATGGGGATTCCACAGCCTCCCTTGGAAGCCTGTTCCAGAGCTTAACTGCCCCATAGTTAGAAAGTTTTTTTCCTAATATATAACCTAAATCTCCCTTGCCGCAGATTAAGCCCATTACTACTTGTCTTACCTCCAATGGACATGGAGAACAACTGATCACAGTCCACTTTATAACAGCCCTTAACATATTTGAAGACTTATCAGGTCCCCACTCAGTCTTCTTTTCTCCAGACTAAACATGCCCAGTTTTTAAAATCTTTCCTCATAGGTCAGGTTCTCCAAATCTTTTATCATTTTTCTTGCTCTACTCTGGACTTTCTCCAGTTTGTCCACATCTTTCCTAAAGTGTAGCACCCAGAATTGGAAACAATACTCCAGATAATTGGGACAATTACCTCCCATGTCCTACATACAAAACTCCGGTTAATCCACCCCAGAATGATATAAGACTCATATTCAATTAGTGATCCATTATAAACCCAGATCCTTTTTCAGCTGTAGAGCCTATCACTTAGCAAGTTATTCCCCATTTTGTAATTATGCATTTAGTTTTTCCTTTTCACGTGAATACTTTGCACTTATCTTTACTGAATTTCATCTTGTTGAATTCAGACCAGTTCTGGAATTTGTCAAGATCATTTTGAACGCTAATCTTGTCCTCCAAAGTGTTTGCAACCTCTCCCAGCACGGTGTCACCCAGAAGTTTTATAAGCATGCTCTCCACTCTATTGTACAAGTCATTTATGAAAATATTAAACAGTCCCTGAGCCAGGACTGACCTCGGTGGGACCCCACTAACCCACCTTCCCAGTTTGACAATGAACCCATTTTGACAGTGATGACTACTCATTGAGTACAGTCTTTCAACTAGTTATAGTAATCACCTTATAGTAATTTCATCTAGACCACTAGTCTAGGCTAGTTTGCTTATGAGAATGCCACATGGGACTGTGTCAAAAGCCTTACTAAAATCAACTACCCTAACCTCTAGGCCAGGAACCCTGTCAAAAAAGGGAAATTTGACAGTGACTGGGACCTGGTGCCCCCTTGCCGGTTTATGTATGACACTGCAGTGGTATTGTCAGAGAGGAACTGAATGTGTTGGGCTCAGATGAGGGGCAGGAATGCACAGCAGGCTTAGTGGACCGCTCGAAGCTCCAGGATGTTGATGCACTGCGTCCATGTCCCTTGCACGGCATGTGCATCGAGGTGGGCACCCCAACCGGCTAGAGAGGTGTCTGTGGTGATGGTGGCTGTGGGGGCAGAAGTGGTGAAGGGGGTGCTAGCAAAACCTTGGCAGGGTTGGTCCACCACAGTAGGGAGGTCCAGACCAGATGTGGGACAATCAGGGTGACATCCAGGTGGGTCTGCAGACTTATAGGACCCACAGTTGTAGACAGCGCATGTGTAGGCAGGCAGGCGGCATTACATGGATACAGGCCACCATGTGGCCAAGGAGGCAGAGACAGTGCTGCAGTATGGGGCGTAGAATGCAGCATAGGGCTACCATGAGGGCTGTCAGGGTGGCAAAACGGTCCGCTGGGAGGAAGGCCCAAGCTGTCACGAATCCACGGAATCCGATTAAATGAACTGTCTGCGTTGGAACAAGCACAGATTTCTCCTCGTTGATACAAATGCCGAGAGTGGCATGGAGCGAGTGGAGAGCGCAGATGGACGACAACATTTTGGTGAGGGTTTGCACTTCTGGAAGCCAGTTGTCTAAGTAAGAGAACATAGGGTACTCCTGTTGTCGCAGTTGGGCTGCAGTGACCACAGAGACCTTGGTATAAACCCTCAGGGCCGTCAAGAAGCTAAAAGGAAGAACTCAAACGACAGTGGTTGTCCCCCTCGCAGAAAGGAAGAAACTTGCAATGGGCCAGATGGATGTCAATGTGGAAATAAGTATCTTTCATGTTGAGAGGTGTGAGCCATACCCCCAGGGGAAGGCAGGGGATATTTGATGGAATCATCATCATACAGAACTTGGTCTTCCTGATGACAGTGTTGAGTAGTTAGAGATTGAGTACAGGGCAGAGACTTCCCTTTTTTGAGATGAAAAAGTACAAGGAGTAGAAGCCCTTGCCAATGAAGGGGCCAGCCACTAGTTCGATCACACCATTCCTCAGGACGTTGTCTGCCTCATGTAGGAGGCTGTGATGAGAGAGACTCCCAGAGGGTGCTGGGGGCGGGGAAGGGGAAGGTAAGGAACTTGATAGAGTAACCATGTTATACAATCTCTAGTACCCAACGGTCCATGGTGATCTCAACCCAGATGACCCCAAAGGTGGTAGGGGGGACCAGAGGCAGCAATGTGGGGAGCTCGCAGCTCTCGATATGCATGTCAAAACTGGGCCTTTGTTTGATGCCATAGTACAGCTGAGGAGGTGGCAGTAGCTGATGGTCACGAATGCTATGATCTTGGGAGGCCGCCGTGCAGGCTCCTGATACTGGACATAAGCGTGCTGGTAGGGTGCGAGGAGCATGGTCAGAAGGATGGCCTCTGTTGCTTTCAACAGAGCACTGGGGTATAAATCCCAAGAGACTAGAATTTCACTCTTAAGTCTTTCAGGGAGTGGAGGGACTCATCCGTCTTTGCCAAGAACAACTTGTCCTCATCAAAGGGGAGGTCCTCGATCGTGGTCTGAACCTCCCTGGGGAAGCTGTAGGATTGCAGCCAGGAGTCTCATCGTACGACTGTGCCTGTGGCAAGAGAGCGGGAGGATGTATCTGCTGCACGCACAGCAGCTTGGACGCTACCCTTGGCCGTCAGGCGGCCTTCCTCCTCTAGAGTCTGGAATGGCTGTTGCTTGTCCTGTGGCAAATCCTCCAGGAACTCTACTAGCTTGGCATAGTTACTAAAGTCATACTTGGCAAGCTGATCTTGGATATGCCGAACTGCAGGCTGCAGAGGAGTAACCCTTGTGGCCAGGAGGTCAAGGAAGTTTGCTGAACTATCCGAGGGTGGAGGGGGTGGAGGTATGGGAATGCTGCCTTGCCCATTCAGTCGCTGCGTGTACCACCAGCAAAGCAGGGTGGGAAAAAAGAATGTCATCCCCCTTGGATGGGATAAAATGGCTGCATTCCACTCTCTTAGGCGTAGGGGCACAGGAAGCTGGTATGCGCCAGACTGCTCATGCAGGTTGAAGGATAGTGTCATTTGTGGGCAGTGCGATGTGAGATGGTCCCCTGGTCTAAAAAATGTCCACCAGCTGGTAGTGTTGATCCAGAACTTCCTCCAAAGGTATGCCCAAGCCCAGGGCTACCCTCTGCAGCAGCTCCTGGTATTACCCATGATCATCAGGAGGCAAGAGGACTGGGGGAATCAATGCATCAGAGGGAGAGGAGGCGGCAGCTGGCAGTCCTGGCGGAACCAGTGGGATCGGCTCCCGTTCTATGTCTGCCTCTGGATCCAAGCTGAATGGTTCCAGCACAGGCACTCGGATGGATGTGAGGCTTGTGATTGTGGGTACACAGAGTTGTATGGGTTCCAGGGCAGCCAGTGTGCCATGGTGTCTGGTCCTGGGGTACTATGGACCCCAAAGATATGTGTATCAAGTTGGCGGTGCCAAAGCACCCTACCTAGTGCAGGGGTCATGCCGGGGAGTCTGAGCTGCACCTGGACGTTGGGGAGAATGCCGGTTCCTCCGCTAGCTGTTGCAGTCCGAAGAAATCTCAGGTAGAGGCGGAGCCATCAGTGTGGGCGGTCCTGCAATCACCAGGTATGATCTCTCGCCCAGGATAATCGTTATGTCTGTCGGGAAACTGTAGTGCCGAGAGCAGCAGCGAGAGTGGATATGGCAGGTCTAAGTGCACCGTTGGGAGCAGCGGTTCGACTTGTCTGGGTGTTCAAGGTACATCCCACTGACCACTGAAGCGGGGTGGCATGTGCGGTTAGGAGTGTGGGGATTCCAGTCATACCAGGGGTGCATGCTGCAGAGGGCTGTCCCTTGGTACGGTGGCCGATACTTCTTTCTTCCTTTTGGCTTTACACTCTGCACAGGTAAGCTTGGGAGGTGGCATGATCGGATCTGCACATGACTTCTTGTGCAACCTGGTGCAGCCTGGGAAGGAAATGTTGTGCTTCGCTGCAGTCCATGACACAGACTTGCTGAGAGGGCCATACGAGCACTTATGACCCTCTCGCTTGGCATTGTCCTGCGCTGGTGGTGCTGTTGGATCAGGGCGGGAGGTGGTAAGTGCGGCACTCATCACTGGTGAAGGGAGAGGCACCATTGGTTCCGCCAGTCCCAGATAGGACTCCACATATGGCGGGAGAGCCTCCTCCCCGAGGAACTTCCAGAGTCACAGGAGACAAGCCTCACAGGTCCGTGAACAGATCTCACAGCACGCAACGAGATGCACTTTCCCAAGCAGTGGCAGTGCTCATTGCTCACTGAGACTGAGTGAGAGCATGACACTCAGTCCTTGAACCCTAGGATGCAGGGCCTAGTCCCCCAACAAGTGCTCTCGTAGGCGAACTACGAGTGCGGAGGAGAGAGGATTCCAACCCCAACCATGCGGCAGTAAGAGAAAACCAAAGGAGCACCCATGATTTCAAATACATCTACATCTCTTTTCCACCCTTAAGCCCTCCCTTATCTCTCCTCCATTGATTCCTTCCATTCCACTCTCTCCTCCAACCTTGATTCCTCTGCCCTCTCTCCCATCACAATGTCTAACCTTTCCCACTCTTACCCCTGGCTTTCCTCCAACATCTGTTTCCTCTGCTCTTGTTCCTGTGCTGCTGAATGTCTTCAGTACAAGTCCCACAACAACCATACTGATTGTGTTCATTGCAAATTCACTCTTTTTCTTTTTTCTACCACTTTCTTAAACAAACAGCTTTATTTCTCCCTCACTGAATTCCAAAGCCACAAAAACAGCCAACATTTCGCCACCTTTGATTCCCTCCTTAGACCTCCCCATCCATCTCCACACAAAAACTTGTAATTTCTTTTTTAAAAACTCTATATGATCGAGCATGATCTCTCCTCTAATCCACCTTCGGATCCTTCCTTTAGTCTCACCCTTCATCTTGATGCTACAAACCCATGCCAGCTAATAATGGCCAGGCAGGTGCAAGCTAATATTACAACTATGGATTGGTTTATTAAACCTACGCATTGTGCAAAATATATGTAAAAACATTGTCTTATTAACACAACTGTCCTCCATCACCACTCATTTATTCCCATTTGTTTCACACACCCCGGTGTGTTTTGTCTTTAGGACTAAAGTTATCTAAAGGCAATGGCTGTCTTTTACTTTGCACGCAGCCTAGCACAATGGGTCTAGCACAATGATTAGGAATTCTAGGCATTACTGCAATACAAACAGGGAGGAAATAATGTCCTTCAGTTAAGCACTGACCAGGGACTCAGGAGACTTGGAATCAATTCCTGGTTCTGACACAGATTTCCTGTGTGACACTGGGCAAGTCACTTTCTCTGTGCCTTGGTTTCCCATCTTTAAAATGGGAATAATGGAACTTCCCTGCTGCACTGAGAAGTTATAATAAGACTATACTAGTGATATTTTAGTGATTATGAGGCACTCAGACAATAAAGTGATGAGGGCTACATACATAGATAGAAATAAATAATAATAGCTACCTTCCCGTAAAAGGGGAAGATTCAAGTCAAGGTGCTAACTGGCAAGCACCCCAATGTCAAGGGATGAATGTTCGGGGAGGGGCATGCCTCTATATATTTGAGGGAAGTTAACACCTCCTCTCATTAAGCAAGACATAGATAATGCCAATCTGCAGAAACTACTAGCTGCAAGGCCTTACCTGGCATTTAGCTAAATATGTACTTTAATGTAGCAAAAGCATCATGGTATCTACACCTATATACAAGAACGTTAGTCTTTTCAGATAACCCTTTAATACCTCAAACAAAATTAAGAAGAAGGGGATATAGTGCAACAGTCATAAAAAAACCTTCTTGATCAGTTCTTACTGGGTAGATAAGCGTTGTTTCATGTTCTGTGTATTAGGTAATAACATGAAAGGACAGCATGCTTATAAATATAAAAAGGCTCTTCATTAGGAGAACTATTTAGCATTCAACTCATGTGTACACAGACTAACTTCCTGTGCCTTCTCCAAACTCTTCCCTACTGCAACCTTCCTCCATGTTCCATGAAGATTGCTATATGCATGACTCCAGTACAACACCTAACGATTTGGCAAGGAAACGGGGGCCCATTGTATTAAGTGCTGTATGTACACATATCAAGAGATGATAGGGAACTGAGGCACAGAGAGATTAAGTGACTAGCCCAAAATTACACAAAAAGTCTATGGTAAAGATGAAAACTAAATCCGAATTTCTTGGATCCCAGTCCAGTGCCTTAACAATAAGATACTACTTTCATCCCCCTCCATTGCAAAATTCAGAGTGCATAATCTGGACATTTATATGTATTTTTAGAAATTTTTTAACTAAAGGTACCTAAAGTACCATATCTGTTCTACTTATATTTCTAATCAGTTATTAATAAAGCCACTCTCTTTGTATTATCTCTATTTTAGATTTCTGGTGCGCATAAAAGGATGTTTCATGTCACTAGCAGATTCTGCAGACCTTCATTCTGGCAGGACAAAGATATGTGACAATATATCAGTTCCTTCTTCCCTTCTACTTAGTACCTGTAGCACATGATTTCCCATGCATTATAACAAAACTGAATTCTTACATCAGAGTTTTGTGTATCCGTTCTATTGCATCTTCCAGTTCTTCCTTCTGGTCTGGAACAAATCGGTATTCTGACACATAACCTGCAGTGTGCTTATATGGGTCATAGTCTCCCAGCTCAGCTATGGTGCACAAGAAAAAAAATTGTCACAAGTTTCAAACATTTTCCCATTACCCAAAAGATGTACTGTCTAACCAATCTGCATGTGCCACTGCACCTTTTCCCAAGTAACTCTATGAGCTCACCACTCAATAGGTAAAAGAAAACTATTTTTTCTCATTGGAGAGGAAAAATGCATGGCAACGTTTTCCCTTTATTTTAGTTTATTAACAAAGCATTGTAGACCAATCCATGCAAGACTGGAAGAGAAATTTCATTAATAACATGTTTTTTAGAGGAATGGAAGGTTCAAGGGCTAGGAAATATGGTATGAAGTTTGTCACCTCCGCAGAACTGGAACTAATGTAGTTTAGGTCAGTAATAATTGCAACAATATGCTACTTTGTGGTGCATGTGAAATGAATTGATGTGCTGAGTCCAGTTCTTAGAAGGTTTGTGCCCATATAATAAAAACGAACATTCAAATGGGCATTGACTGCTATCCTTGTTGGGAGTCCTAGCAGAGAAGTCAAGGACTGAATGAGAATGGAGATGTAACTATCCTGTCTAGCTTAAAGGTAGTCCTTTGAGAAGAAAGCTGAAGTACCTATAGGTAAACAAAAGACTTTAGTCTCCAGTTAATTTCAGTACATTTCCTGAACACTAAATTCACTTTAAAAATTAAAATAATGATTAAATCATATTTAAAAGAAATATGGGGACTCTATTTTAAAATTTAATCAATGATTATGCATTTTAATATAATTGTTTTTGGAGTGCCCTGGAATTTGCATATACAAGCAAAAGTGACATGATATAAAGTGACAAACTATTTGTCTGATGAGCCACAATCCTATTTTATACCCTTGCAAACAGCTGTATATTAAATGTATATCTTAATCAGGGCCCAATTCTACAATTCTAATTTACATTGGGTAACATTTATATGAGTAACCCCACTGAAGTTAATGGGACAATCTGTGTAAGTGCTCCTTAACATGAGTAAAGGCAGTACCATTAGGCCCTCAAGGAGGCAAGGGCTCCCCAGAAGCCCAACCTTATTGGAGGTTCCCATCCAAATCCCACTGAAGCCATGGACATTGCTATGCCTCTTCATACACCATGAGGTCAGTGCCATAAATCATAATGAAAAAAATCCCATAAAACATCAGCTCATTTTTGTTATGGATTTTTTTTTACATATTAGTCTTGTCTCCAAAACAAGAGACTGATCTGATCAGCAGAGATACAGGAATTCCCCTCCCCACCACTCCAAACCCAACCCCAACCCCCACCCCGCAAAAAGCCCAACAATAAAACAGTGGCCCTCATGCCTGAAACAGAATAAACAGCAGGAATAATGACTTTGGGCTTCATTGTGCACTTTAATAGAAAAAATCAGATTGCACAATAGAGTAGGTGTAGCTCTGTGCGCCGTAAGGCCTGCAGAATGTATAGTGTATACTGCACTCTATGTTGTTGCCAAGCCTATGGATGCGATTCCTGTGCTAGTGCTTCTGGCTTATAAATTCAGTGTTTCACACAAACATATGCATTATGTGAGGGTCTCTATCTGCATATTTTTGTCAGATTCAGCCCTGATGTAAGAAGGCATAACTTCTTATGAAGTCTTATGAAGATACGCCTGTTTCTGCCAGGGCTGAATTTAGCCCTTTGTAACTACTATGTACCTGTTCTAGCTCTCCTATCCAAAATGAACTTTTCTAGCTATTTCCTTGTGGCATTTAAAAGAAAGAAGTATTGGTCATTGAGATTAGTATCCTATAAACAATCTTTGACTGGAGCTGCAGATTCCTACAATTTAGCCACTATGCCTATGACAGCGAAACAGAGTATATTCTTGTTCCTATTTCTCATAATCTGTTTGAAGATGATGCACTCACTGCAAAACAATATACCTGACCAATATATATTGCAATATTTCACAGTCAAGGCACAACTGTCATTGAAGTGAAAGGCCTATCACAAACAGCCTTCTGGGTTGGGTCATATCACCTTCCGAAGTTGGGGAAATGTCAATGAAAAAAATTCAGAATGTGACATGCTTTAACTTTCCTGAGAGGCATGTCATATGCCATGAAAGTCTCTAATCTCCTTTCACACTCAATAAGTTATTTCATTCTGTTGTGATCTCTCAAACTTGTTGTTCTAAAACAGAAATTAAAGGAAGAATATTTTCAGCTTGCATTAGGTAGCTGCTACTGAATCATACTTGGATTAATGATAAACTGGATAATCTTCACTTAGTATCTGCCACAGATGAAAACTGTAAATTATAAGTTTTCTATGCAGAGTTCCCAAGAAAATATCCTAAATCCACATGATATCCCTGACTGCCAAATTTTGCATTTGGATATCTGATTTTAGCCCAAAGATGAGCAAAATCTTACTTCTTACTTACTGTCCATTAATGTGAAGTAGTTCATGTTTGCTCTGCCAAATCCATGGGATATACTAGCACTCATGAAATCTGCTTCTCAAGTGCATGCCAATAAGTGAAATGTCGAATTAAAACTTCACGCTTCAAGTTAAAACACATCCCTCCCCTTCATTATCTTCAAGTATTAGTATTGACATAATGTGGTTTTTGCAGGACTGTATCATTTTGGATGATCAACAGATTTGTCTGGAGGCTGCTGCCGGCCCTTCAGATCTACACATTGTTTGATGAAATAGAAAATATGATATAAATAATATTGGGCTGTAGACATACCCTGACTTGTAATGTCATCAAGCACTAATAAAAAGTTCTCTCTGTGGACAGTCTCGGTAACTCAACCGTCAATAACTGTCAGATATTTCAGAAGAGATCCCATAGTATCTTCGTTTAAAATGCATGTAACTGGTTCTACATAATCTGTACTGATGTGTCACCTATTTATAATTCTCCTGTTAGTCTCTGTAATTTAATTTTTTTAAACTAACATACAAAGACTTAGATTAAAGTCTCCATTTGCTGCAATATTTGGAATCAATCATAACATTAACTGTCAAGGTTCCTTCCCCACTCTGAACTCTAGGGTACAGATGTGAGGACCTGCATGAAAAAATCCCTAAGCTTATTCTTACCAACTTAGGTTAAAAACTTCCCCAAGGTACAAACTTTGCCTTGTCCTTGAACAGTATGCTGCCACCACCAAGCGTTTTAAACAAAGAACAGGGAAAGAGACCACTTGGAGATGTCTTCCCCAAAAATATCCCCCCCAAGCCCTACACCCCCTTTCCTGGGGAAGGCTTGATAATAATCCTCACCAATTGGTACAGGTGAACACAGACCCAAACCTTTGGATCTTCAGAACAATGAAAAATCACTCAGGTTCTTAAAAGAAGAATTTTAATTAAAGAAAAGGTAAAAGAATCACCTCTGTAAAATCAGGATGGTAAATATCTTACAGGGTAATCAGATTCAAAACACAGAGAATCCCTCTAGGCAAAACCTTAAGTTACAAAAAGACACAAAAACAGGAATATACATTCCCTCCAGCACAGCTTATTTTACAAACCATTAAACAAAAGAAAATCTAACGCATTTTCTAGCTAGATTACTTACTAACTTTACAGGATTTGTAAGGCTTGCATTCCTGATTTGTTCCCAGCAAAAGCATTACAGACAGACAGACAAACAAACAAAAGCCTTTCCCCCGCCCCCAGATTTGAAAGTATCTTGTCCCCTCATTGGTCATTTTGGGTCAGGTGCCAGTGAGGTTACCTTAGCTTCTTAACCCTTTACAGATTAAAGGATTTTGCCTCTGGCCAGGAGGGATTTTATAGCACTGTATATAGAAAGGTGGTTACCCTTCCCTTTATTTTTATGACATTAACAAACAAAAGTTATCAGTTGGTCAGAAGAACTCACACTGAATTGCATATGCTCCCAGCTGAGCTGCAATATTGATGGGACAGGGCATGCGACCTTGCAAAACATCTTGCTTCACCTGCAAAAAAAATTGATACCTAAAACAGAGAGAGAAAATGAAGTTGTTAATTCAATATTAAGGATTCTGGTGTACTTAGTAACATTTTACTGCCTTCAGGTTTATTCGGGGAGGGAGGGGAAGGGAAGGTCTGTAGCTCAGCTTAAAGTGACATGGTCAACTCAAAAATCACGTTTGCATCTTCTGCAACATTTTTTTTACTATTAATGTTCAAGTAACATCATGATTATTATCACTGAAAGACTGGAGGAGGAAAAAATTCTCTAGTTTTCCCATTTGTTTACTTTGTGCACTTGACAGCACACTGTGATAGTTAATTTCCCTAGAAAGAGGTGGTTTCCCTAGTTTGTGTGGGATTTTCAGGCAGCAGCAGGAGAGAGAAAACATTGTTTAAAATCAAACAGGAAAATATGATTGTTAACCCACACATGGAACAAATTTTGACCTCACTAGTAGAGCAGAGCAAGGGAGACACAGGACACAAGGCACTCACTCGCTTGTGTGGGCTTGTAACAGGGTCTACAAACCCCATACTGAACACAGACAGAGGGGGGAGGAAAGTCTCTCCCATTTACAAGCAAGCAGCTTGATCACAACCCCAAGCAGCTGCCAGTCATGGAGGCAGGCGTCCACAGCTGCAACCAATAAAGAAAACAGAGTCTGTTGTATAGGGAGAAGTGTAGAGAAGGAAAGGGAGGCACTAAGGCCTGGAATAGCAAGGTGGTGACAGCTTTGCACTAAGCTGCCTCCAAGAAAACAGTCAGGAGACTGAAAGAGATGGCAAGCCCAAAAAGTGAAGGTCTGACAGGCTTAATTGAAGGTGAGGATCCAAGAACTTACCTGACTGAGAGCAAACAAAGGAGGGTCAGTCAGGAGAAGCTAAGGCCCCTCAAGAGACCACCCCAAAAGGCATTGACAGGGCTCTATGTACCACAGCCAGCAAGTGTGGGAGGAAAAATAGACACCACAAGGCCACTATATTCCATTCCTCTACTTGCAGGTGGGTAGGAAGAGGTGGGGCCATGGCTCTGCCTCCCAACGCACCAGCCAGTTGGGCTACATAACTGTAAGTGCAGAGTACTTCCCCCTCAGAGCAGGAAGAAACCAGGAGGGTATATTGTGACTCTCAATCTGCTTCCAAATCTGCCCCGAGGCAGCACAATGCACTTCCCCTTACCCAGGGCTCATGGTAAAGCCACAACTGAGCCCAAACTTAGCAAGAGGAGTCAGGAGTAACAGAAGCGACTTTTAAGAATATTTTTTAACTGACAACATTTTAAGCTGACTGTGTCCCTTTAAACTCTGATTTTTCCCCATATTCACAAAATATATTGCATACAACTTCCTTAATCACAACCGCACACATCAAAAACACGTATGGTAAACTGTTCACACAGGCTGGTATAAATTAAGTGAGAGTATTTGATACCCCCTCTTAAGCACATGAACACTGAATTCCTAATGAAACAATATGAACAAAAGAGAGGATCAGAGCAATAAGAAAACAAGTTATCTAGTTCAGTTTTTCAGATACTCTAGTACAAGGAAATATTTAAAGGAAATATTTTTAAATGCTGTTTATGCCAAATGGATATACGTCTTCCCATATCACATCATACGGAAAGAATATCAGTGATTTCTTTCAAAAACAGTTTTTAAAAGATCTTTTTGTTATACAGGCACAAATTGGTCATACTTACATACTGAACTTCCCTTATTCAGGAACTCATTTATTTTACAGAGCCAAATAACCGCATTATACATTATTATTAAGTTTATTTTGTATTTATTATTGCATTATCATTATTACTCTTGCAAATACTTAGTACTTTCTATATGTTCATTGTAAGCTATTGAAATATTTTTGTCTTTGGGCAATCCAGACTGCAGATTATATGGCAAATAATCTTTGCATTACTGTGTTAAACTCAAATAAAAATTGCCAGCGTTCAAGGACCTTTCAGTGCTATTTAATCTGGAATCCTTCCAGCCCAAATGAGCTTCTTTTGCTGATGGTTCCCACAGACACCATAGGCATTCCAGGATATACAGCTGTGCCATTTGCACCCAACTCTTATTGGAGAGGAAAAATGCACAGTTATCTAAGCCCCTCGTCTTCCCAGGGCCCAATGCCTTATATGAGAAGGCATACTGCAATGGTATCAGGAAACACAGTGTGCACGCTCATTATTGCTCCTTAGTATTTTAACAAGCAGGCAGACCCTTATTTGGATGAATTATGATGACAGAGAAGAAATTTAAAGGTCTTGTGGAGCTTACAACATCTGTTGGCTGACTGACTGAAAATTAAGTTCACTTCCAATATATACCTCCTCCCCTCAGCATTTCCAGCAGTTGCACAAGACTGAGTATGGCCTTACTATGTGTAGCCTGCTGCACAACCATTGTCTACAGCTCGCCTGGATATGGATATTATTTGCCAGTTCTTTGGTATTTCCCTAGTAATTATGGAAGTGCAGGGTTTCCCCTGAGTTCTGAAAAGTGTCATTTTAACAACCTCACATTTTCTTCATACATATCTATCCTCACAGTTAGCATAATCTAAAGTAAGACAAAAACAACTTAACCTGCTTTTTAAAAAATTCTAATTATCCCCCATTTTTAGGTACATGTTGGCTCCACTGATTTGCCTCCATCCTTCATTTTAAAATTTTAACTACTTGGCTCTATATATAGTACAAAATACATATAATTTAACACTGCACGTTATTGCCAGCAGCATATGATACCATTTAATGCAGGCACAGTATTTACAAAGGTGATAGACTGTGGGAATAGATCTGACAATATATGGTACAAATCATCAGAGAAAAGTTAATTAAAACTAGAAATCAAATTCTGCATAAAAGGGAACTTAGAACTAAATACTCTAAAGTAGGTGGGCAGTAAATACCAATTCTTTTGCTAAGATGTAAAGCTAATATGGATGGAAAAATAATACATTTTGAATAATTATTTAGATAATAAACATACAAAATGGGTATGAACATTCAAATCAAAGGCTGTCAAATCAGTGTATATACATCTAAACCAACATTTCAGGCACAAAAATGCTGATTTGAGCACAAAATGCAAACTGGGGCCCTTATCTTAAATGTCCTTATTTGTGTATTTTCACGGTGGATTTGAGGAAGAAATAGCTTTTAAAAAAACAAAACAAATCCCCCACAATTTGCAGTCAGAAGCATCAATTCTGCCTTCTGTGAGGTGATGATACTCCTAACTCCTATTGAAGTCAGTGAATGATGGCAGTACTTAGCTCCTTTTAGGATCAGGCCTCTAGTTCAAACTTGTCCCTCGAGTGCTCGCCATTTGCTCTGCCAAATTGCATAGATAATGGTGTCTAAACATTGCATGAGCAAACATACCCAGGAGATATTGATAACCAGTCAGCATCTATTTTTGCCTACAGAACACATCAATTTCTGGTGTAAAGAGATTATAGATTTGATAGGTTTTTACTATTCAAAAATAGAAATCACATAATGTGACAGAAGTATTAACATCAGATAACAATAGGCTCCATACCACTGTACATAAAAAAAAAAAAAAAGGTCAGTGACCCATATACCATGAATAAATATAGATAACAGTGTCAAAACACTGGAATCACATACCTAAGTTTGAAAATTATCACAATAAAGAAAAGAAAATTGCTTTAATGCACTCTATGTAGAAGGCGGTGATTCTAGCATAAGTATTCTTTCTGAAAATGTGTCTATTTCCTACAGGGTTTAAGGTAAGAGCCCAAAGATATAAAGGCTCAAATAGTTTGATGACATTTGATCATGCAGATTCTTAGCTATGTATTATTGAAGATTGCAATTATAAGCTTAGTACTTTCCTATGCCCCCTTCCCGCCTAGTTTTAAAAAGCACAAATTTTGTGTGAGCAAACATATTGCACACACAAACACAGACTCACTAAAAATGCACCGTGCATGCCAAAATGCTTTTTGCAAAGATGTATGCACCTAATAAGCAGTGCAAATCATTAACTGACCTTGTTATAAGCAAAATTAATGCATTTTTTTTAAATTTAGCTCTTAATTGTCATTTCACAGATATGAATCCAACCTGCCTCCAGAGTAGTAATCACAGCAGGTTCTGTTGCCGGAGTTCTCTTCCCAGGGCCATCTTTTTTCCCCTGTGAGCAGGGTTGAAAGTGGTTCTGGAAAAGTACAGGAAAACTATATCAAACTTTCGGGGCAGATGGGGCATTACACTGCAACTAATGCGTGCTTTTTCACTGTACAGAGTCCTAGTGGTATTAGTTTTTCCTAGTTCAATATAAAACTTGTCATACTGGGAGATTTTGTCACTATGAGGAAAAACTAATGCCAATATGGTAAAAACATTCTTATCATAGTAGTACAGGAAAAATATTTTTGCTTATTTTTCACGATTAACCACCTTGGGTTAGGAAATGAAAATTTATGTGTGTATTGTAATAAAGTTTGACATGTCATGTTTCACTTGAGCATAGATGTGAACAGCAAGAGAGGAACTTTTCCACATATTTATTACTTCCAGTCAGCACACTACATCTGCCTAAATATGTCACTTGAATATCAAATTTCTTTGTGAATCTGAAATGAACTGTCAGAGATCTTTTTTACATAAAACACAACAAATAAGCTTGTGTGTGTGTTTATGCAAGTGTATTCCTATAAGTGCACTCTTCAGCGGCGAACTGTTATTTAAATGAATCATAAACATTATTTTGCTTTTCCACATATTTTGCATATTTTTCAAGAGACCAGGAGAAACACTTCTTTAAAAATAGTTCTGGAATTTAAACCATGGCCAATTAAAAGGAAAGCAGGTATTCCCTACAGCCGTATTTGGATACACAAACTGGGGGGAGTAATCTAAAACCTCTCTCTAGAAGCATATCCATCACAGGACTTGTATAAATCCAAATGTGACAATACATTGCTTAAAAAGGAAAAATTCCCAACAATTCATACAAAACCCTGACACCTGCCCATGTATCATATAGCACAGGTTCAATCTGATCTTCCAAACAGAGGTTTGTACTGAACAATGCAAGCTTCCTCTCAGTTTTCTTACAGACACAGGTGTGTAAGCAAAAACAAACAAAAAACCCAGCAGCGGTGTGCACCTGCATATATGTGATTACAATCTTAATTTTATTAATTATGATTTCAGATCAGCACATCATATGCATATCACCAATATTTAAACAATATGCAATACTATACCTGGTTATTTCTTCCTTAAGTTTGCATGGATCTTCTGCGTAGAACTTAACACCAAAATATAGAGTATATGGTGGCCCAGCTAAGAGAAAGAGAGAACAATTAAGTTTTGTAGTGCATATTTATAAAAAAAAATCTTTGATTATAGAAGAGCTACTAAGCTGCCTATCTATTCAAGGGGTTTACACAGCCCACCGCTCTTCCATATCATCACAGAGTGATATTCCTACTGGACTCCTTATGGAGTCTCTTTTACCTTTACAGAGTAGAAAAACTTTGTTGGAACAGGATGTTTTTGTTTTCTTTGGTTATTGTTTCTTCTATTTGTTTGTGAATACAACACTGTGCCCAATGTGAAACATTCCCCATGATAATTAATAACTGAAAGTATAATTATGCCTTATTTACTTGGTAAAATATTTTGAATTTTGTAATTTACTTTTTAAAAAGTTTTAGCTCTCCAATAAAATCCAGTAACTCAATCCTACAATTCCTGTTATGATCATATTTATTCCCATGCATACTTCCACCAACTTCAACCAATGTCCCATTGATCCAAGTGACTTCAGTAGGACTATGTGTGATATTAAAGATACACATGGTAGTAACAAACTGCAGTCATGCTCAATCCTGCAAATACCAGCCACCAGGAATTGAGTTTACTACCATGTTTAGTCCCACTGACTTCACAGAGCCCGTGAAATGTAAGTATATTTACCTTTTTTTTACAAAACAAATTGAAAAGCAGCTTCTCCTGCCAAGAGTTCAGATGTCTGTATTTTCCCTACAAGCAGCTACAAGACTTTCCTGTCTTGCAGATGACAATTTAAAACTCTGCAGGGAATTCTGTGCTAGGTAGTTATGATGGTATTATCTGTTGCAAGCAAATCCTGAATGCAGACCGTGGTAGATAAACAAAATTGCTGCTCATCAAATATTTTCTTTTAAAATATGAATGTATTTGTCATTTGAAATCCTGCACATACAATGCCAGATTTCCAAAAGTAGACAGCATCCATAACTCAGTGGGAGATGCTTGGTGCCGAGCACTTTTAAAAATCTGGTTGTATTATTTGGAATTTTACTATATTAATTATTAATATTTTTATAAAATGTTTCTGATTTTCTATTAAAATAAAGTAATATTATTAACCCTATTAAATAATATTTTAAATTATGGGATATTTGTCTCTGATAGCTAAAGGGTGACACCAATACATAACTCATAAAAAGCTAGGCAAATTTTTTAATATGGACCTGAAGCAATATTTTTCCAATTTTAGAAGGGAAAAAAAGTCATTCACTTCACTTAGCAAGGCAGAGAAGTCAAAGCCAGTACAATTCTAAATTATACAAGTAAGAACTATATCATATACCATATACCCAGCATATACCAGTGCTTCTATTATTCTAAGCAAAGGTTAATCACAGAAACATCCTTAAGTTAGAGAAAGACATTACACTCAGTCGATGTATGTAATTTTGATATGGCGATTAACTGCAATATTGATACAGCTCAGGAAACTATGATTCTGTCATGCCTCAAAAATCAAGGCCCACTACTCTGCACATATGGTGTCCTCTGTCTCTTCATCTTGAAGTAACTGTTTATGAGTTTCAAGTAAAATACATACTGTTTATCAATTCCTTGTGTTCTGCAAGGGTCCTTGCAGGATCCAGCCAGTACTGTGAAAATAGATAGGGAAATTAGTAATTTATCATGGCAAGCTATTAAAGATTAACTTCAAATTATACATTTATTTATATATTAATGTTTTTCCCCAAATACAGTACAAGTGAATTACAAATAATTATGTTAACTATTAGGAACAATTAATTTAGGGCCTAATCCAAAGCCAACTGACGTCAAAGGAAATTGACTTTTTCTTCTATATTGGTAAAACACAGAAGCTTGAGTAATTTGGTGGTGGTGGTTATATATATACATTACTATAAAAATCTGAAGCATTGCAGTCTGCAATCTGTAAATGAAAAACTATAACCCAGAATAGAGAAAAACATTGTCTTGACTAATGTGTTCCTACACTTCTTCCACGAAAAAAGTGTCATAGTAGAGAAACGACACGGTCACTTTCACGTTCAGCAATAGCTGTTGAATACTGTCTTACACTCAGATTTACAAGAGCCACTATATCAATTCAATCAGCTGTACTTTATTACAGATGCTAACTAGGAATCTCAGCTAAAGCTGGCAGTCCTGAGCTTGACTCTTATTGCTCACAGGGCTTGTCCACATGGTGATTTAGTCCACACCAGCTGGGTTGTAAAAGCTAAGGAACACCAGCATGTCGCACTTACTGGCCCACGTGCATGTTAATGTAGTACTGTTTGAAACAGAATTACAAGAACAAACACTATGGAACTTTTAGTGCATGCCAGCAGCGTCCACATGGGCCAGTTATTGCACAAAACACTGGTGTGCATTCAAATGTACACCCCAACTGGTGCAGACTACAGAACCATGTAAACAAGCCCATATAAACCCTATTCAATTAAAACTGATAGCTTCAGGGGAATACAGGTAACTCATCTGACACTATGACAAAACTTCCAAAACAAAATAAGAAATCTTGCAGTGGCTATTTCTCAATAGCCCTCCAAAAATAGAAACCTTCTTAAGTTTACAGTGAGAAGGAAGAAAAACAAACAAATCACTCGATAAATTTGTTCAAACATCCTATTGGAGCTCTTCTCAACTTGTATTATAAACAAGCACCAATCCCAGTTAACGTTATCACTGATAAAATAACAAATAGACTGCAAGTCAATCAGACAGAAAAACTAAGCAAAAGACTGTACAAAATGGAATACAACGCACTCTCTGACTTCAAAACTCTTTTTGTATCAAGATTAGTACTCTGGACCATAACACAAGACACATATTGCCCAACTGGTTTGTTCATCAAGGATAGCTCTATGCTATACTGCAAGAGAGAATTGAAACTACAATTTCAATAGAATTCAAAATCCAGTCACAGAACAACTATATGACTTCTCTCATTTCAGCAAGCCCTATATTCCTCTATAATCTGAGTCTGGTTTCCAGGATACATAGGACTAGAAATGACTTCCTGGGCCATCAAACCCAGTCCCCTGCTATCACAGGCAATCCCATCATATAATCCCATTCACAAATTTATCAAACTCCATCTGAAAATTAGTTAGGTTGTTTGCCCCCATTACTTCTCCTGAAACTTTGTTCCAGAACCTCATTCCTCCTCCTTCTAATTTCTAGCCTACATTTATTCAAGGCCCGTTTATCCCCATTTGTTCTTATGCTAACGTTGTCCTTTATCTTAAATAGCTCTACCTTCCTGATATGTTTATTGAGATTTAGCATATCCCTGCTCTATATTTGATTCTTTATGGTATTACAGTCCTCACTACTTTTTAGCTTTATAAGCATATAGATACCAATTGTATACAAAGAGATACGTTAAAATAATATCATTTAGGTTGAAAAGTCAAGCATGAAGAAATGCCAGATTTATAGTTGCCTCTGCAATCTCAATTCTGCCCCCTTAGGCATCCATCCTGTGAACTGAATGAGGCAGGGGACCTGTGGAAAAAAACAATATGTGATTTTGTAATTATCTTGTATCATAATGTGTAGGATTCATACAAGGTTTATGCGCTTGGCAACATTCAGGGCACACCCGGAGTGTTGTGCTGGACCTGTGTACACACAGCTCCTTTCAAGGGCATCAACCTTGGAATCTCACCCAGATGACATGAACCGTGGGAAGCCTCCCAGGACTGGGCTCAAGGCCCGAGAGCAAGGAATGTGGTAGATAGAAATTGGTAAATAAGAATGTTAAACAAAGCCAGTGTATTCCTTTTATCTGTTGGAGAATGTAATGCACGGGGGGAGAGAAAGAATAAAGGGGAAGGTGGAAAGCTGACAGGCAGAAGCCCGTTAGCAGACCAGCTTGCTTGCTTGCTTAAAGCTCTGTGCTGTCTTGTCATTGAACCGCCACAACTGGCGCCCAACGTGGGGCCCTCAGCACTCACCTCGCCCGGCAAGGGTTTCAGACGCGTCACTCATCCGCTTCGCGGATCCCTGTGAGTATTTTTCATTGTGGTAAATATGGGAAGCTCCCTCTCTGCTTTGCAAGTGCAACACCGCAGTGAGCTACAGTATTTGCTGCGTAAGGCTCAGCATGACTGTCCCACTCGAGAACTCACTCTCCTGCTACAGGAGGTGAGTGCCCAATGCCCGTGGTACCCTGAAGCTGGAACCCTTAAGCTAGCGGACTGGGAGCGGTTGGGCCAGACATTGCACAAAGAGCCTCGGGCGCCCGTGCAGGCTCTACATGCCTGGCACCTCTGCCGTGACGCGATACAGCGTGTCACCTCGGACAGGCCCTCCCTCGCGAGGCTGGTGATCTCGCCACGCCCGTCTGCTCCTGCAGCCATCCCCCCTCCTGGCGATGCAACACAGCGTGTCGCCTCGGAAAGGCCCTCTCCCGCGCCAACAGAGGGGCTGCCGATCCCGCCACCCCTGTCCGCTCCTGCAACCATCCCTCCCCCTGCTTTGCCCCCAGTGCCTCTATTACCACCGCCTCCCTGGCCTTCCCCACCGGAGCCGGTGTGTGATCACCCTCCCCCCGTGGGGCCCCATGCTCCAGGGCCCCCCGGGGGGTCGTCCGCGTCTGCTCAGCGGCTTTCGCTGGTGCAACAAATGGTTCACGCAGCGAAGACTCGCTCAGATATTACAGCAGAGGAGCTGGCTGATCTGGTCTCAGTTTGTCCGGTGACCTGGCAGGATGATGGCCAGGGCAACCAAGTTGCAAACTGGGTCAGTTTGCCTTACTCGGTGATCAGAGACGTAAAGAAAGCGATTCGCGAGTTCGGCCTCACTAGCACGTATGTAAGTGGTCTCATTGAAGGGCTAGGTACTGGGTACACCCTGGTCCCTGAAGATTGGAAGGTGCTGTTGCGCATGATGCTGACGCCCAGTCAGTATGTTATTTGGCTTAGTGAGTATTGGCAGGTGGCGGAACGCCAAGCCCAGGTGTACAGAGAGCAAGGTGTCATTTATGAGCAGTTGGCAGGGGAGGGCCAGTTTGCTACTGTTCAGATGCAGTCTCAACTCCCTCAGGCCGTCTTCCCCATTATTTCCACGTGCGCCCAGCATGCTTTCCGGAAGGTCCCGGATTCAGGCAAGCCTACCAAAAGCTTTGCCAGTATCCGTCAGGGTGCATCAGAGTCCTTTATGGATTTTACCAACAGATTGCAGGAGGCTATCCTCCGACAGGTGGATAACCCTGCGGCAGCTCAGGAGATCCTGTTAAAAATGGCGGTTGAAAATGCGAACGAGGATTGCCGCCATGCTCTCCAGGCTGCACAAGCCTCTGGAATTCTAGAGCTGTCAGACATGCTGCGGGCGTGCCAAAACATCGGAACTCAAGCACATAAAGCTGGAGTTATGGCCGCCGCCCTGCGGAAAAGCGGGAAGGAGGGGAAGCGTTGTTACCACTGTGGTAAGGAGGGTCACTTTCAGCGGGAGTGCCGCTCATCGACGGCGCCCGCCCGCCCCTCAAAGAAGTGCCCCAAGTGTCGGAAGGGCTATCACTGGGCTAATCAGTGTCGTAGCGGGTCGGGAAACCGCACAACGGGTTCCCCCCAAACCCAGGGCCAAACGGGGGTGTTTCCCACTCAGACAACTGTTCCTCTGCCTTAAAACCCATAGATTCCATGAAGACGGCGACTGCCGGAAGTGCAGGGCTTGATTTGATTATGCAGGAGGACGCTGACTTTCGGTTGCCGGGGGAGGTTTGCGCCATACCTACCCAGGTGACGGGACCTCTCCCTGCCAGATTTGTGGGTCTGGTTCTCCCTCGCTCACACGCTGGGAAACAGGTTTTTTTTGTCATCCCAGGGGTCATTGACGCCGATTACACCGGCGTTATTAAGATTCAGGTATGGACCCATCTTCCACAGTCGCTCCCGCGTGGACGGTCAATTGCGCAATTGATTTTAGTCCCCTATCAGGTGCCAGCCGCAGAGGATCAAGCCCGGGGCAGGAACAGCTTTGGATTGATGCTGTCTCAGTTGCTGTCTCACAACACGTCCTCTCTACTTGTTGCTCTAACAATGTCGGTCTGCCCCTCGAAACCTCAGTTAACACTTCTCTTAAATAATGTTCCTTTTACAGGGCTGGTGGACACTGGAGCTGACGTTATGGTGATTCGTGATCCGGAGTGGCCGGTCGGTTGGCCAACAGTTCCTTCTAAAGAGTTGTGGGGAATCGGGGGTAGCAAACCCAGGCGCCAAAGTTTGTCTTGGGTCACGGTCTCTAAACCAGGAGGCCGTGCCCTTGCTACAATCCGCCCTTTTGTACTCCCTGTCCACCTCAATATTTGGGGCCGTGACTTACTTGTAAAGCTGGACACCACCCTCGATATTAATATATAATGGCCCAAAATCCTCCCTCACCCACCTTGCCATCTGCGTTACCATTGGTATGGCAGTCCTTAGAGCCTGTATGGATTGACCAGTGGCCCCTCCCCCTAGAAAAGCTGAAAGCGCTTCATTCACTTGTACAACAATATTTGCATGCACAGCGCTTGGAGAGCTTCACTAGTCCTTGGAACTAGCTGCTGTTATTTTGGCCTTTCAACTTTTTGCTGATTGTCCCTTTAATTTGATTGTGGACACGCATT